TGCGGAGCGAGCTTTTTTCCCGTTTATCGGTATAACCAAGGAAAAACGTAATCATAGTTCTGACTCATAAACGTTGTACCAAAACGGACGATAATAAGTGGCATTAAAAAGGGAATTAAACCCATCTCGTGAGGAGAAGAACAAGAAGCGAATTCCGTGCAAACAATGCAAAAATTATATCAAGGAGAAAGAAAATTAAAAAAAAAACGAGATTTATTTTCATACATTACACGTTAAGAGAATCCTCGTGAGAATAAGGAGAGATGACCTCCTTTCTGACGGTATTGTGAGAGAAGTGCAAAAGTTCTCTCTCGATTAATCCTATGTTGATTCAAGTTATATACAGAATAATAGAATGGATAATAAAAAGGGCTAATAATAGGCAAATGCAAGACAAAAGCTTAAATAAAAAACTGTTAAATAATTTAGACAATATTTATTAATTAATTTATTAATATTTATTTAATTTTTAAATTAAATCTCTTATTAGCCCTCTTCATTATCCTGTTGACATATTTAGAGCCTTTTTATTTTGTATATAAAATATCGCAGTTAAGAACTTTCTCAAATTTCGTTTCTGAAAAAGCTTGTCTTATCCATTTTATTTAAATAATCTCATGTATTTATGTATATAGATAGAGAAAGCTTATTGTTAAATTAAATTTTATATCAGCCCTCTTGATTATCCTATTGACGTATTTAGAGCCTTTTTTGTTTTATATGCATATAAATTATCGCAGATAAGAACTTTCAAGTTTCGATTGCGAATTTCGTTCCTTAATGAAAAAAGCTTGTCTTATCTATTTTAATTATTAATCTTATATATTTATATATATATAGATAGAGAGTTTATTGTTAGCGATAAATCAATATTTCGCGAAAGCAAGTTCTGTTACGTGAAATTGACCGAAGAATAAAGCGTTGTTACTCGAGAGAAAATAACTTGATTGGATTTTGTCAAGAATTGTCCGACTTTTGCGAGACCAGGGTGTCTATCAGGAAAATCTGGACATTGTCAGGGAATTTCACTATTTATCTGGATTTTTTCACAATATTCTACATTTATCTCAATAATTGAAATTTTTTATTAAATAAATATAAACTTTTCCTTGACTGCCAGCACGCTAATTTTCCGTGTTGTTAAAAATCGATTCATCTACAGCGTGTTCGTTCATTTATATTTTCATCGTCGTGTTATTTTATTTCAGTGCGTGTTTGATAGAGACGAAACTAAAAAATGTGATATAATATAAATAAAAAAGGTGATTATTTAAATAGTTTATAATGACATGTTTGTTTCGATTATCGTACGTAATGCAGATTGTATATATGATTTAAATTTTTATTTTTTTAACTTCCGAACCTTTTCGTTGTTGACAAAAATATCTCAAGGATTTCATGATTTAACATTTAATTGATTTATCATATAGATGCAAATTAGATATATCTGGCAAAAATAATACTAAAAAGTGAGGGAAAAAATGCCCCTTTAATCCCTTCATATTTGACAGATCAGCTGATATGGAGATAATGAACGATAAGAGCCGAATATATTAATGTAGCCGAATATATATATATATATATATATATAGTATTACACGAGTCCTTTTAATCCTGCACCGAGAGAATTTTTAGAAAAAAATTCCAATCTTGTAAAATATGAAAAAGTCAGGGAATTTTTTTCTCGAGTCTGCTGGACATCCTGGAGACGTATTTTTCGCTTTACGTTCGACTGGAGGTCGCGGGAGTATTTAAACGTGACGTTTCGGCGGAAATAGCGAGCGAGGGACGCGACAAAGCCAGCCTCAAGCGTGAGGATGAGCATGAGAAAGAAGGCGACGGTCTCTCCTGTCGCGTACAAAGACGCTCGTAATCGGGTGCACTTATAGTTCAAGGCTGTCTTAGATCATCCCGGATTAAACTGCAACGCGCCGCCGACATTTAGGCGCGCATCGATCCGCTTTCACGGACACTATCTGTCTACGTCACTCTTTGCGGAGAGAGAATAGCCTCCCTTGAAAGTATCTCGCGCTCTTTACAAGGAGGAAAAGAGACGCTTATTTACGGAATTTATCGACTTTTCCGACTCCCCCTGAGCTTTGTGGAAAAGAAATCTATTTTCTAAATTCGTGACTGAAAAATCGAAGAAGATTGAAAACTCGAGCTTCAGCTTCTGTGCTGCGAGTGAGAGAAACTCGTTAAGATGTTAACTTCGACGCAGAGAGAGAATTTTCTCTTAGAATTTATCCTGAAAATCATGATAATCTTGAGACAATATGTTATTAGAAGAATGTTATTAGTTTCTCTAATTAATATTTATCTCAATAAAAAGATTAATAAAAATCTACCACAATAAGATATAAAATATGTTCGGTATGTTAATTTTATTATGTACACTGAAAAATTTATTGAATTTGAATAAATATTTATTTCAATACTACTACTACTACAATAATAAATAATTTATTTGATTTGAACTTAATAATATTGATTTGATGTTAAAAATATTTATTTGATATAAGAAAATCCTTTTCAAAACAGATGAATATTTGTTTCAAGTAAATTATTTATTAGGCAGTATTGAAATAAATATTTATTAATTTAATACTTTTTTCAATATACATAGTAGCATTTACTATTAATATTTTTTATTGTAAAAACATGAATCGGAGAATATCTCTTATAAAATTCTTCTAATACCACATTTTCCTACAATTACATGATTTTCAGAGTAAGTTCTAAGAGAAAATTCTCTCCGTGCAGGATTAAAAGGACTCGTGTAATTCTATATATATATATTCGGCTACATTAATACGCGATCGATGCAAATTATGCTCTTATCGTTCATTATCTCTCTTATCGTTCATTATCTCCATATCAGCTGATCTGTCAAATATGAAGGGATTAAAGGGGCAATTGAGATTTTCAGACATTTGACTTCGAAATTTGTCATCTTTCTCGAATATGTCACACGTATATATATTTTGACATTTTCAAAAAATCCATTCTAGAAAAACGTCGCGATAGTTTTCTCAATGTCTCCTTATCGCATTTGTCGATATGAATAAAAGAGCAAATTCTTTTTCTACCTATGGTATATAAAACCGGATGAAGAGAGCTGTGTCGTCGTCGCTTGAATAGCGAATTCTTAAAATTCGCAGACGATTTCTTCATAATAGGAAAAAACACCATTGTCACAGAAGTTTAATTTTTTCATTATCTCGATTCATATTAATTATTTCGTGACGACGAAACTTTAACTTTTATTTAGATAAAAATAATGTTCGAAATACAAAATTGTAATTGCACAAGATATATTCATCCCTTTATTAAGATGATATATTAGCTGTCTCAGTTTTTAACATATATTTTACGAATCATCTTATATTTACAAGTTATTTAATCGGAATTTTTGGTTTATACTATCGTGAAAAAAACTCGACGTCTTAATATTCCAAGTAGTCGATGTGTCAGGCACGATTCTTTAGCATGATAACATTATTAACAATAATTTCATGACTATAGATGAAGCACAGACCATTATGCTAATTCAACGATAAGTAATCGCGGGACATTTCTATTATTTGCTTGCGCGCAAATTAATGATGCATAAATCTTGCGTATTGGATTTAGAAAAAAAAATATAGAAGATATGGACAATGTTTGCGTCTTGACACGTGTGAAAAATAGATTATCAAATAGTATTTCACGGAATTTATTTGACATATGACACGTGCCTTTTCTCGAATATTGCGAATACAAGTGAACTTTGAACTTTTCACGGAATATAGGATATTTTTCATTTTCAAATAGAAAAATGTCGCGTTAGTGATAAAAGGGGAAAAGTGGAAAGGGAGAAGAGATGACGTTGGTTTTGATCATGACGAGAATATTGCTCTTATGAAAACTCTGTATAGTGATGTCATTCGCATGCACATGGACGATATTGCACTTTTCGTATGGAAACTCGGCCCCTCGAGTAATCTTGAGATACTTCAGATCTCGGTTTTAATTTTTTCGCTAAAATTACAAGTTTATTTAGTCGCAAAATAATTATTTAAAAATCTTTATTTTAATATTTTATTTTAGAAATAATGTTTATGTCTCTTGTAATATCGTGGAAGTGAGGTGGAAACGATTCGATTGAACAACTTGTATCGAATAATGAAGCATTCTTTATCAGACCAACACGTGCAGATATTTATTTATGCATTTTCAAGGTTTGAAAGCATCTGCGCGAGAATAAAATAGACAGAATGTAGCGTTTCTAAATATCTAGGTTTCAATACAAATTCATTCCTGTATGCGTGTGTGTATTCAGCATGAATGAAGAGAGACGATCGTTTGTTTGCGTATCTGGTGTGCTTGCTCTCACGTAATCAAGATTCAACATCAAGTTTGCAGTGATATAATAATAGATAACGTCGTAAGCGTGACGTACGTGTATTTTGCTAATAAATAACATCAGCAAAGAACAGCTGATTTTATCGCACTCGATCTCTCTCTCTCTTTTCTCTTTTAAATCATACTATTTCTTCGTTTAGGAATTTTACTGAAGAAAAAGTTATAATTTAATTTTCAATTTATTAAATATTTAATTTAATTTTAATATTAATTAATATTTTATTTTTTTATATTAATATTCAATTTTCAACTTTTTATGAGTATATCATTTTTAATTAATTTTTATATAAAAGAGGACAATTTTTATATATTAATTTTGCATAACATTTTTACGCTTAATTTTGAGAAATAACAGATTTTCAGTCGAAAAATATGTCTGGCTTAAATCAAGGAACCTTTTTATTCTAAACTGAACGAATGCTGACACCGTCGTAATCTCCATAATAATAATAATATTAATAATATAATATTCTCTTATGACACGGAAATGATCGGTGGCTTCCGGGATTTGCATTCCTCTGAAAAGCTTAAGCGCGTTATTACGTTGTCACTGCGTCGTCACTGATAATAACCGGCTTTTCTCTCTCTATTTTTAGGTAAGTAAAGAAGAGCTTGCGAAATTAGTGCAGAGCTTCGAGGAGCAGGACATCCTGACGTCGTCGGGCGTTACCTTAGCCGGCAGCAGGTACATCTACCTGTCGGGCACGGACCGTGTGATAAGGGCAAAACTTGGCAAAATCGGCGTGCACTGCATGAAGACGACGCAAGCCGTAGTTGTCTCCCTATACGAGGACCCCATACAGCCTCAACAGGCCGCATCTGTCGTTGAAAAACTGGGCGAGTACCTCGTGTCCTGCGGCTATTAGGTCAGTATCATAATAAAGATATATATATTTACTTAAAAATACCCTGTATCATGTTTTATATATATATATAATTTTATATTTTCCAATAATATATATGTATATTCCAATATACATATATAAAATACTCCATCATAAAATAATAATAAAAATATTGCATAAGATAAGATAATAATTCTCTTGAAAAAATATATAATAGTATAAGCTTACTAATTTGCTAATATATATATATATATATATATTTATTTATTTATTTAATAAATAATGGGAGAAGAGGCTCTCTGCGTGTTTTAAATTTGTAGAGATTCATGCTTTCCGGCGGAACCGCTTTAATCTACCTCTCCTTTAAATTCGCGCCCGTGGGAACTTTTCAATCTCGCTTAAATCTCGGACGAAAGTTTTCGATCCTGTATTCGCGCTACCTGACAATGAGATTTAATTAACTTTGCAAATACGATGTTGCGCTACTGTAGAAAGTATTAAGGAATTTAAATGGATTAAAAATACCACGAATATTTTTAGCAAATTAGTAAGCTAATACTACATATTATAAATTTTTTCGAGAGAATTATTATCTTACCTTATGCAATATTTTTATTATTTTATAGTAAAGTATTATATATATTAGAATATATATATTATTAGAAAATATAAATTTTATTGTATACATATATAAACATAATACAGGGTGTTTCTAAATAAGTGTGAACAATTTTAGATGTTTTTGTAAAAAATTAAGGGAGGTTTTTCATATAAACATATGCTTCTGTATTTCTTCTTGAGGAGTTACACTTCTCCAAAGAGGGATGTAAAAATTAGGGTTTTATTTTTTTTTTTGAAAACTATTGATTTTACGAAAAAAATAAAAGAAATAAAAAAGTTTCTAAAGGAATCAAGCTTTCTAACGCATATTTTTCGATGATCAGATTCAAGTTCCGTTAAAAAATAGGTACTAATAGAAAATATCCACCAAATTTCATTTTTTAAATGTCCAAAATTTGAGAAAAGAAATAAAAAACTTCATTTTTACACCTTCAGAGGAGTGTAACTTCTCAGGAAGAAATATAAGGAAAAATATGTATGTTTATATGAAAAATTCCCCTTAATTTTTAACAAAGAATCATTCATTAAACTTTTTCGCACTTATTTAGAACGACCCTATATAATAATATTAAAATTTTATATACAATTTTCCAATACATTTCATATCGAGTGAAATTCGTCGAAATAATGATTTCCGATTATTCGGCGCGATATTTTAATCCTGTCAAATAATCGTTAATCCAGTTTATCATTAGGATTGGATTCTTGCGGCGGATAAAATGTTGCGGAACGCTCTCTCGACTTATGAAACGCCGAAGGCCTCCTTCGTCGAGAACGAATCGGACAGAGTTTCGCGAGCTGTTGCACACAACGCGGTGCATCTCGCTCTCTCAGTCACCGTCAGTCCACGTATATCCGCGTGCGAAATCGGGTGCCGGTTCGCGTCGCTGATTAACGGGGCTCTCCCCGGTGTGTATTCTCCGACTCTCCCTCGCATCGATTTAACCGAGCCGGAGAGTTTCTCTCCCGCAGCCATCCGCCGCGCATTACGCGCTTATCATTATCGGCTTGTCACTCAATGCACTCTCGCACTCGCGAGAGGGACGACAGAGAGACGCCGTTATTGTGCGCCCCGTTGCGTTTTCGCGCGTCTGTCAAGCTGCATAACTGCGGAAAACAGTTCTCTCCTTCCACTGGGGAAAGGGTCGTTGCCTCCTCGTGCTTCGTCGTCTACACGTTCCTGTAATTCGCGTAAATTGCAATCGACAGCGCGCGTTCGTTCGGAAAGAGAGAGTCTATATGTCCCTGAAACAACCGCGGGCTTGAATTTTCCAGAGGACGTTTCAAGTTTATCGATTTACTGTGCGAAAGAGTAATCTTACTCTCGCGAAATCTCGTTAGACTCGTAACAAGCTCCATTGTCGTATGCCAATCAAGTTTGCAGCAGCGGTATTTCGTTATAATTGCCCCGTTATTGTCGATCTACTGGGAAACTTATCGAACTCTCCTAATGAGTATTCTCACGATTAAACGTTGCTTGGGAATCTGTATAAATTCATTTAATGTTTTTCACAAATGTTATAATTGTCACATAATTAAATAATTAATTAATGTAAAATTTATATAATTTTATTATATAATTGTAATATTAATTAATTAATTAATTAATATATATATAATTTATATAATTTTATTACATAATTGTAATATTAATTACTTATAATTCAGTAAAATTATTATATATTATACGCGATGCATTTTCTTATATATGTCATCGATCTGTCTCACACAAAATCGTTCCGCAATTCCGCATATGTGGGACGGAAAAGATTATAACGCGGCATAAAAAATCGATTTTACCCGGTCATTTTTCGCGACGAGATTCAACGTACGGTTGCACTTTGCTAGCGCTTTGTCAGCGCAGATTATTACCACTTCGCTGTATATCGCGAATTCGAATACAAATCGGCAATACATCCTTCGCTCGTATACGTAAACGGGTGTATCGCATTCCGATAATCGAATCCGACAAACAGCGTTATACGAAGCCGAGAAAACAACGCGTCCGCTAATGAGACACACTCGTATAACAAAATTTGAATAATTTAAATGACAGTTTAACGAGCCGTTTACTTTGCCGTTTATTTTCCGGAAATTAACAAAGTACGAGCAGCATTTTCCGACGTTAAATATTTTTATTTTATTTTTACTTAAATATATATATTATAAATTAGTAAATTTTGATCCACGCGAGACTAAAAAAAGGGGTTTTCCAATAAGTGATTTTATTTATAAATTGCGTAATTGTTATTGAATCTTATATATTCGTAAGAAAAATAAATTGTATAATATATAATTTAATATAACATAAATATATATCTAATAAAAATATATTTCTAAGAAAAAGAAATCGAAAGAGCCCCTGGGCGAGTGACGTGGTGAATTTTCCACGTCATCGTCGATTCGCGAGAGGCTTCGAGCGACGAACGAATGATCTCGGTGACACGTGGAGTCCGAGAAACGCTCGGTTTTCAGTTCGTGCATGACTCACGCGGATAATTCTCGCCGAGCGTTTTAGCTTGATATCAGCTCGTACCGCGATGACTAATCACGCTGCACTTGCGCATTCGCTTATTCAGTCGCAGGGTGGCCATGGGATAAATATTTTCTTCTTTTCTTACGTTTTTCTTTTTCTTTTTTTTTCACAATCAACGAAACGCGACATCGTTTCCATTCATGGATAATTATTCGCTCGACACAATTGGCGTTTTGGAATTATTCGTTTGAAAAAAGAGGAAGGATCTACAAAGTATATATAATTGAAATTCTGACGTTCTCCGATAAATATTGGAGATAAAGGAAAGAATGGAAGAATGCACGGATACCAATTATATCTTGTCAAGCTAGACGTTGGTCCTTTTGTGTATTTATCTTATCACATTTCTATCATACTCCGACATGATATAAATTTCAATAGATTTTCTGTCATAGCTTTATGAAACTGTATATTTTTTCTCCAGATTAATATAAGCCTTCTGTCATAATTTTTAACTTTTCCATCAATGTATGAGAGTACTCGGGATACCAATTATTGTATTTTGCTTCAGACGGAGAAAAGTTCCGTCACATTTGCATTTAAATTTGCTTTAGGTACCTGGGTGACTCGTTCATTGATAGAAGTGTTAAAGTTGTAGTTCCAATTTTTTTATGTATATGCAGGCTGTAATTGAAAAAAAAAAACATTAGATTCTACGACCAATTTGAAAACGATTTCTCCTCAGCAAAAATGTCATGAAAGAGGTCATCAATTTTTGCCATCTTGTATCTTCGTAATTAACAATAAGTCTTAAGTTAAAATTCTATTATTAAAGTAAACTCTACCTGAAATTAGTCGAAGAATGTATAGTTTTGTTAATATTTTTAACTGTACAAAGTTTAGTTTGCGAGAAGTTCTTTTTTAATCATCGATAACTTGAAAATGATTGGTGCCTCGACATTTCCACCGAAGAAAAATCGTCTCCAAATTGACCAGAGAATTTGATGGTGCACATGTTTGTTCAGTTACACTCTGCATATCTCTAGTCTCTCGCAATTAATTAATGAATTTGCATTGCGCGACGACGTCCGCAGCCGACTAACCTGCGTCCGAATCCTGCTTTCTGTTGCAGTAACCTCTGGGACCCAACACAAATATCTAATATTAATAATAAACGATATCGGTCGATTATTTTAATGAACAGCGAATGGAATGCGCCATTGCCGCACGAGTCGCGCCGGAACTGCCGCAAGCCCTGCCGCGCGACAACCCACGAATGAAGAACAGCAACAACATCAACATCTACAACAGCAACAACAACAACAACACACAGAACGACGACAGCAGTAGCAAACTACTTAACTACATTACTGCTCCAGTCATCATTCTCTTCTCTTCGATTTCTTTTTTTTCTTTTTTTTTCTTGCTCTTCTGACGCGCAGAGAACGGAAAGAGGCACCATCGCGCAAATCCACGCACGCACCCACGTAAACAACGTACGTAAACAACGACGCACCCTTTCGTTCCCTTCCCCCTCCTCCTCTCCCTTCCCTCAAACGATTCCCAAACACGTATACGTACTTAAGCATCTACGTGTATAAGATCCTCGTAGGTGGTGCGTGACGGACGCGAGCGTCGGAGAAAAACGCGGGAAAATGTATCGTATATATCGGCGCGTGCATACCGATCGATATCACGCCGATATCACCCCGATGTCATTGTGCCACACACACACACACACGCATACATCTGCTCTCTATCTATTCCCCCCAAACTCCGCGGGCGAACGGCTGTGACGATGCGCGAGATCGCATCATCCGAGATGACGGATGAAAATCGACGGCGAGACACGATCGGTACCGGAAAGCCGATAGGATATTGTGACGTCACGCGCGCTGTCATCCGACCACGTGTCGTAGGATTCGCGCGCGCGCGCGCGCGTTCTCGAAAGGAGCGCGATAAATTGCGACGACCGCTCGCTTGACGGATCTTTCCCGCGATCTCTTCCGACTATTATTATTATCTAGAAGATAATTCTCGTCGAAGAAAAAAAGAAACGATGGATCGTGAAGCGCGCGACTCGCAATTTGTCGCGCGACGAAAGCAACGAGCGGCTTTATGGTCCTCCTCCACTTTTCGTTCGGCTTCTTCTCCGGAGGAGAAACGCCGAGGGTCGCTTCCGCGCGAGGAATTCTTCGGCTGTCGTCCTCGAGTTCGAGGTACGTGTCGAAGCGACTCCGGGCTTTCTTATGTATCACACACAAACATGTACACACTCGCTTCTCGTTCACGCACCCAGCTTCACGCGCGCACGAACAGTCTATCGACGATCGATCGACGAATATCATCGGAGAGAGAAGAGAGAGAGAGAGAGAGTGAGTGAGAGAGCAGAAAAGAGAGAGAACGCGACACGTCGAACTTTTTTGTGACCGTTCACGTGGTGTTTCGCTGACGGAAAAATAAAAAAATGATATACACACAGACACATACACACACATATACACGTATGAATTTAAATATAAGAAGTAATGATAATAAATAATAATAAACTATTGTGTGTTAGGCTTACAGTCTTTTTCGTAGGGCACGAAAGGGTGAGCGCGCGGGCGAGAGAATGCGAGAGAAGGAGTAAAAAATGCGAGTGCTAGGGAAACTTGGTATGAGTTGAGAAAGAGAGATAGAGAGAGCGAATATAAGGAATGTTTGGAATGAGAGCGAGAGAGAGAGAGAAAGGGATAGAGCGAATGAAAAATGAAGAGTGATTGATAATTGGAAAAATCGATGGAAAAGCGAGATAAGATTTTGAAATTGACGGCGCGGAAAAACGAAGAAGAAGGCGAGAAGAGAAAAAAATGAGAATGAGTGAGAGAGAGAGAGAGCGAGAGAAATGAATGAGTGGGAGAAAGTGAGAAAAAAAGCGGAAAAGTGCGCAAGTTTAATGATGGCGATAACGGTGGCGGCGGCGATAATAACGATGATGATGATGATGATAATTGATGATGAAATGATGATGACAATGCGGGCGAGCATGCGGCAGCGGGTGATACGGCATGGATTGGCCGCAATCCTGGCCGCCTTTCCCATCTCCCCCAAGAATCGATACGGTCCTTTTAGCTATTTACTGTCTTTATTATTGCTATGTGTAAGAAGAATAAAACAAAATGGCGAACGATGTGTCATAAACTGCTGAGATTTTTATCGATGAAAAGGTGAGAGAGAGAAAGAGTGAGAAAGAGAGAGCGCGAGAGAGAGAGAGTAAGAGAGAAAGAGAGAGAGAAAGTCGCATAAAAAAAAAAAAGAAAAATACATTCACACCGACATTTATAAACATGTACACACACACACGCACATGTACAGCCACATACATCTACGCGTGCATGCGAGAGTGAATTTTTTACACAGCAGATGCATTCGCAGGTATATCGAGCTATAGCGAGAATTCTCGAGGTCCAGCAAACGAGCCTAATCACGATTTTCTTATAGTGTCCGCTTTCGAGAAGTTCGAACAGAAGGAAATAGCGGCGTAATAAGTAAGCGAGATGATACATTTTTCTCGATTAGTTTATACATTTCGATTATAAAGACGTATAGCTTCTAGTCTCCAATTATTAATATTCATTATACACCCGAAAATACTGAGAAATTGATGAACTTGTCAATGTTTCGCAATTGTTAAATATTTTCTATCACGCTGTTTTTTAATATAAAAGACATATTGATATAAAATTATATTTTAAAAAATTATCTCCATAAATATATATACATACATATATATATATATATATATATATATATATGTATATAAATTTATATATATAAAAATCAGCTGTTTCTAGAGGAGAGAAGCTAATCTTTTCTCCAAATCTATCATTTCGCCGACAGAAAATGGAATATCGCCGGAAGCTCTTCGTACGTCTCTGTCAGATAACGAGTTCATTATCATTTGCACATGCGAACAGATCGGTCCCGATCGGGACTTTTATTATTCCTCTTATCTTCGCGCGATCGCGTCATCTTATCTTTCCTTTGTCGGCTTCCGACTTCTCGGCGCCTTTCCGCGGTGAAAACAAAAAGCGAGAAACTATTCGACAATCGATCGCGCGAGAGGGAGAGAATCCATTTCCCGAGGAGGAAGATCAGGAGGGAGGTTTCTTCTCTCGTTCGCGCGAAAATCGACGAATCGACGGTGTATCTGCGAATTTCTGCCGTGTATTCAGCAGCGAGAAATTCATTCGATGCACGGTAAACGACCTTACACACGATATATATATATATATATATATATATATATATATATAACACACACCCACACATACACCCAGAGACATGTACACGCGATACCGCTACCAATTATTACTACTATTATTACTACTACTGCTACTATTATTACTATAATTGGTTGCTTGTCGATTCGTCTGACGCCAAGCAGCGGCCCAAACTACTATGTAACGATTTTATTGATAACAAAGGAAGGAATAAACATTGAAGTAAAATAATTGTAATAAAAAAGAAACACAAAAAAAAAAACGAAAAGAAGACGAAGTGACTCTACTTCCGCGTTTCTTCATGTTCTGCACAGAACGTACGGGATGTGTTCTTTTCCTCTCGATCGACTTCAACTATCGATTCGTGGTCTCTTTTGGGAGAAGAAAAAAATGGAAAGGACGGAAAAAGTCGATATACTTTACCTTCGTTCATCTCGTGCTTTTTCTCGGGAGTTTAATAGAAATTCATCTTCATTTTTATTACATGGTTTTCCACACTCGGTCTTTCGAAAAGAAGATGGTCCGAGAATCGATGAGGATAACTAGATGTAACTTTTGTAAAGCCGAAATACGTATATATATATATATATACTTTTTCTCGTAAGAATCTTTCGCATTACGTCGATGATGATGACGACAAGAACGACACACAACAACCGAACAAAAGCGAAATTGTGTGTAAGAGAATAATAATAAATTTGTATAAAGTGGTGTAAAAAAAAAAGAAAAAGAATTGAGGCGTTTGGTGTTTGCGTTTAAAATTGCGAGCGCTCTTAATTGCGGCCGCTGATAATCAAAGCGAAGTGCTGCGATGCTACCAGACTCTCGAAGCCTAATCAAGGTAAGTACGACTTTCCAGCTTGTTTTCCCTCTATAAAGAGATTTTTCTTACAAACATTACACTTTCCACGATTGCTAACCAAGGTAGAAATTATGGAAAATGCTCTACTAATTGTAAGAAGATATTTTCTTTCAAATAAAATTACGTGAAAATAACATTAAAATAATGAGATTTACATTATACCATATATAATATTATATATTAATTTTATATATATATATATTTATATAAAATTATTGCACGATATATACTGTACAGTAAAAAGTAGGAAATGAAAAATTGTCTCGTGCAACAGAAATTAAATATCTTTATTTCTAGACAGAAACGAGTATATCTTTTGACCTTTCAGAGATATAGCTCCACTGTTATTTTATCGACGGAAATTGCGGTGGACATTTCCGCGAAAGACTGCCGCATTTCCGCGTGAAACGGCGGTTTCCTTTCTATGTATATAGTAATGTCGCTGAAAATGCCTCGAGACTTAAAAAACAATTTTACTTGCGTGAGAAAGAGATAAAAAAATCGTGTAAAGAACAAAAATAATTTTATCGGATATTTTTATGTACATATATATAAAACTTGACACTTTCTTCAATTTTTTTAATTTTAGGAAAATAAAAGTTTCCGAGAAATATCGATCTTATAGATGTTAATTAAATCTCACGTGATATTTTTCTTCAGCAACGCTACGCCTGTTCTTTTATATCGTATAGAATGCTGCATTACATAGAAGAATTCGCGAGAGTTCAATGATTTTTAAATGGCAGAGGATTAAGGATAGAAAGGATTAGTTGAACGTGTAATTTTGTTTCTCGTTTTAAGACGTTGATCCTATTTTGCTCGCGTGACATAAGCGATTTACTATCATTTCGTGTCATGACGTAATGCACGCGTACATCAATGTACATTTAAAGTAATTTCGATATTTAAAAAACTTCATTTTATAACATTTTCAATTTTTATTTATACCTATATTTTTATTTTATAATTATTTTATATTTACTTTATTTATTAATTTTTAAAATTTTATAATAATTTAGAGAGATATCTCAAAATCTTTTTTATTAATTCAAAATATTTGTCTACTTCGAGAAGTTGCGAAGAGTTGAAAGATACGAACAAATTAAAGCAGACTCATTATTTTTACGTTGATTACGTGTCGACATCGTGTCTCCGAATTTTATCTCTCGACTCGTTACGCATTAATTACGATTTGTTATGCGATCTCATCTGCATCCTCGACGACGAAATGCGAATACTTCTCGGTCGTCGAAATGAATATATATGTAACATATACACAAGTGCAAAGGTACTGAAATCCGATCGTAATAAATTTATTGGCAACAATATTCGTGTGATCCGTCGTGTTTTGTCGTGCGCAAATAAAATAAATACACCACCATTTGTTTTTTTTTTAGTCTAAAAATGTCGAATATATTTTCTATATCCCGTCCCCTCTCGGGGCGGCGAGGAGAGGCGGGAGATAATAATATAATTCCGATAAACCTCGGCTTAATACAAATTCATCGGGGCAGTTATTTCGTCGGCGACGTGACGTGATGCTCCGTCTCGGGCGCTCCGATCCACGTTGCCGATCCGCAAGTTGATCACATTTCCGAGAGATTTTTGTCTCGCCTTATTCTCCCAACCCCTTCCATCGAAATATAACGTAAAGCGTATCCTACGATTTTTTTGTACTAGATCCTCGACGATTTGTTCCGTCCCGTTACTTCTCCTCCACCTGTCGGTCCATCCGGAGCGAAATAATCCCGTAAAGCCTCCCGTAAGGCTCTATACGAGACTCGCCAGAGAAATCCACTCTCCGAATTCATGGCTTCGTTCATTTCAGAAAACGTCTTTGTGTCAAAAATAGTTTTTACAACATTATTATTAAATAAATATGGAAGTATATCAAAATGTAGGTGTCTCTCTTAAATATATCACTTTGATAGAACGAGAAAGGTGGAATGAATCACGTGTGATGGGAATGTTTTTTTTTTTTACGTATATTGAATATTTCTTGGAAAAATGGACATTTTTGGTGACGTTTCTTTCTAAAATGTCTGATGCCGCGAGATCTCTCTTATTTTCTCTTTGATATAGAATTTCGGCGAGGAAAAAGAGCGCCCAAGATAAAGGGATCACGTACACGTCATATTATAACATCATAATTTTAAACACTACTATTGTAGCGCGATAGATGTGCGTCGTACGTAATGTAATTTTACATAGAGTTACATCGTAATCTAAATAATATGTAGGCGAGATAAATTACGAGAGAGCACGTATAATACAATATATTATATATATTATATTTATATATAATATATATTTATATATTTATAGACTTTTCCTTATCGCGCGAACGTGTGTATTCTGTAATATGTACGTTTTGCGTGTGTAATATGTATATATGTATATGTACGTGTATATGGAATTTCAAAATTTTATATATAACATAACGAGGACGCGCGCGAAGGTCTCCCCAATTTCTTGCGCACGCAATTTGCATCTCGGTATAGCGGTATCTTCGTTGCACGACACGCAGAGGTTTCTTCCCCAGATGCGGACGGTGGTCGAGTTTTAGCTTCTTCCCTTCCGGAAGAGAGGCCTCCTCCTTCCGATGGAAACCGCGCGCCGCGGATCAGCCTCGCCGAAGGGGATCCTATAACTTGGAGTTACTTTCGCCGGGTCGCTTTGTAACACACGGATCAGGTAGTGTATCCTACGATCCGCGCGCCGACGCCCTTCTCGAAGGGAGAGAAACGTATTCGTGGGGTGTGACGAAGAGAAAAAAAAGAATATTGATTTTTATTATTTTTTTTTTTTTCATTAATTTCTCGTACAACAGATCCCATGCAGTCGTGATTTCAATTCCATTTACTGCGGCTTTTATTTGCAGGTATTAATCTCGAGTTTACAAATTTTACAAGACATAATTACATTATATATATATATATATATATATATATATATATATATATGTTTCTATTAATTATATTAATATATTTTATATGAATTAATATACATATATTATATCAATTAATGTTTATCATATTAATATCAAATTAAAATATATTAATATATTATGTTATATTTAATATAATATATATATTATACTAATATAAAATTAAGAGAGGATTAATAGAAGAGAGGAAAGGGGATATTAATAGCAAATAACAATATTAGGAGGGGATCTATAAGAGATATCTATATATATATATATATTATATTAATATAAAATTTAATATATTAGATTAATACAATATATTAATATATTATAATATAAATTACATATATATATATATATATATATATATAAAATTATGATTGATATAATGTAAAATAAAATTATATATATATATATATTATAATTGATTATTCTCGAGGGAAGATCGCGTCCCTTGGGGATGGTGTTGGCGCGCGGATCCTCGCGTATAAGGCATGCGGTTTGGTGCTTAGCTACTACTTCTACTTATTCCGAGCCTGTGGATTTTCCTTTTTTCTTTCCTCTCAAAGGATCTTGACGCGGTGTCGCGCGAAAACCCTCGTCGATTCTACACTACGCTCGCGAAGAGAGACGGTTTTCTTTCTCTCTTTTCCTCTCTTCGCCGCGATTCATCCCGGCGCTCGTTTCCGAGCTCGTTTCCGTCATTGCGACGTGACGTGAAACAACGACGAGGATCGTCTAACAGTGAAAGCGAAACGACTATTTCACGATGGCGAAATATTAGTCATCGCATTGTGATTCGTTTGCTAACCGACAGACGTGATATCTCGTCTTTATCGGTTAACATCGACAAAAAAAAACTGCGATCTGCGATTCTGTCACGAGAGCATATTAAATTAATTTTTTTTTAATTTCATATATTTCCATAAATAATATTAAAGTCTATATATAATAATTATATTTTACATCATATTATTTACAAAAATATAAAATGACAAAAAAATATTTGCGAGTATTTTACGGAGTAAAATATTTGGAAAATTATACTTTGAAGGAAAAACTGTGGATTTTTTTTCATTCGGAAAACGGATTCTCTCGCGAGAGCTCGATAGATCGCAGCTCGTATTCGGAGACGCTGCAGTCTCCAAGGATCGTATCTCAAACGTGATCTCGTTGACCATCTCGTGGTTACGTGGCTTCAATATGAAGCCGTTCGCTCGAGCAGCGTCTCGCAGATGACACCGGATCTCATCTGCGGATGGGGAGACGTTATTATACGCAGTGCGGCGTATTTTTTTTTTTTTTTTTACGACTTTATTACGATACATACGTTGCACTAACGGAGCACTATCTTCCTAATCTTGGTACGAGAATAAACTAGACGGATCCATGCGTATCTTTGAATTTCCTTCCGTACCAAGATTAAGCGTTCCAAAACATTCACGAAAGATTGGGAGTGTCTTTCTTCTAATTCTATTTTTGTATATCTATAATAGACTCTGGTAATCTCTCGAATCGGTTATTTGATTGAAAAATATAAAACTTGTTTAATTAAAAAAATTTATTCGGATATATATATATATATATAACGGCCAGATTCCAAAACTCCTGATATATCTATCGTCCATGTGTTTCCGGTTCAACCTGATTTGACCTGCGAGACGCCGGCAGTGATGGGACAGACTTAATGGAAGCAGCGCTCTTCGCAGTTTTACGCTTATCTAGATTACCTGTTTAGACTTATTCGGTAGAAACGTCGACGGATGAGCGACAAAGTTAATTAATAGTCAGCCAACAGATTTGTACCTTGCCGTGTGACGGAACGCTCACGTGAATGCCCATTTGTCCATTTTGCCGATCGAGGAACCTCGCTCGCCGTCGCGTACCGTTTCGAAAATCTATGTATATTTCGCGATTAGCCGCGAGATTTTCTACAAAACGCACCGTCACGCAATTATTATCATCATCATCATCTCGCTTCTCTTTCTCCCGCCATTAACGGGATACAAGTCGTTACCGATGACACGACGAATGGAGAGAGAGAGAGAGAGAAAATATACATGAACAGCTTCTTAGCAGTCGTCTTCGCAAATCTGTCGGCGGAGTTTGACAGATTCCGGAGAGAAATGAATGTAATAAAAAAAAGTAGAAGAGATACGTTTAGTAAGATAAATTATATATTTCTCTCAATCGTCTGAAAAAATATCTGTTCAACATTTAACGAGTAATGAAGAATGTCAGAGAGGTGGGAGCAGCCTCCACAAAATTAATATACATTAATAATTATAATACAATAGAAATTAATATATTCCGCTGAAGCGAAACGCTCGTTTTTCGTTCGGGAAAAAAGTTCTCGATTGATATTAAATATCATCTCTCTCGCCTCTGAGACTTTTCCCTCTTAAATTATTCCGTGTTATACATTCAAATATTGTTACTCTCAAAAGAAAATATATATATTGTCATTCGCATTCGATTCTTTCTTTTTTCTGCCACTTCCAATCGTCTCGAATATAAGGATTGGAATCGCGAGAATATATGAAAAATCGAGAGAAATGAAAAATAATTTATAAATCTATGTTATCTATATATATTATAATATACGAGAAAACGCGCTGGCTGAAAGGTTCGTCGACAGTTTTCTCTCCAGTTTCTTCGAACTCGACACACCACGGGACAATCTTTGGCATTTCGACCGATTTTCCGATTGTTGGTCTCTTTGTCAGATATCCGAGGGGATGAACGCGACACATTGACTTAAAAATTCTATTTAAATACATGCGATCGTAGTTATCATCGTCACTTCTTTCTTCGTTACATTATCAGCTATTAACCTCAATTAATCATATATTATCGGTAATAATATTAATCAATAGTATTATTCTTATTATCGTTAACGCGTATCTCGGAGTGTACATATGTGTGTGCATGTATATTATGTAAGTTTTATGTATGTGTGTGTATTGCGTGTTTCAATATCTGTATACGCGTAGTGTGCTCGTCCCATTAATAATAACGTTACAACGTGTTAATGATCCTATAAACTTACAATCGTAATCAATAATAATGCGCGGTGATATTTTCTTTCATTTCGTCTCTCACTCGCGCCCGCTTCTCTCGCTTTCTCTCACACTATCTCTCTCTCGCACACGCATAATAATATAAGTTTGAGTATACCTGATATATATACTCGAATACTCTGTATATATTGAATCGTTATTATTTTATCATTTTATTACTCTGTTTTTTTTCTCTCATTTCTACAACGCGCGCGGCGTTATTTCTCGAATTATAAAAGGGGGATGATGGAAAGATCTCGATCTGAAAGCGGGCGATGAGAAAGAATGTTTATTTCAAAATCAGCCTCTTCTCTTTTCTTTTTCTCCTTCGAGAGAAACTCCATTTATTAACGCAATTCAACAATTTCTACGTTAATGATTCTAATTCACGAGACAATTCAAATTGGCTAATAAAAGGTTAAATAAAAGCGCGCGTTTATTCGCGATTAATATTCTCTTTCACGAACACATCAATTATATACGACGTTAAAAAGAATTAAAATTCTCTTTTGTATATATTAATGACGATACGAAATAATTTAGGATTAAATAATAATAATAAAAAGAATTAATTAGGCGTGTGTCACTGATGTACTATAATATTAAGGTGCTCATTCGGAAGGAAAGAAAAAAAGGAAGGTGTTCGAAACGACTTTCGTCGATTAGCCGAGAATCACGTCCGCACGCGCGACGATTCGTCGTGAATCACTTTAGGTTTGTGATAACGCGTAGCGAGAGAAATCAACGCGGCGTGACAGGCAGCGTGACGAGGACACCGTGAAGATGCATTTCGATCCGGAGGACAACTCTCACGTTCCGGCTCCGTAGACCGTGACGCGTTCTCCCGCGAAAGCGACCCCGACCCATCGCGCGAATCACTTCGAGAGATTGATTAATAAAGTAAGTGCGTCGATAAAGGTTCTGGAATTTTTCGAAAATTTCTCCAACTCCATCTTTTGTTCTCTCGAATTCATTTATATGAAAAAAAGAAAACATGAAACCGAATGAACGCAAAACTCACCCTTTTCTTGTGACAAGCCTGAAAGGCGCGGTTGATCATCTTCCGGTAGGATAAGACGTGGAAGGGTCCCTCGTTCTAATGCTGTTGAGAGAGGGAAGATGATAATTTTTTAAGAGAATCCTTCGCGCAAGTTGACAATTAACAAACTTAAAGACAAAATCGCGGGAAGCATCATCTTTAGTAGCTGATCGATTCCAGGGGATTTGGCTCATTCGTGCCAAAATAAATGTGCTTAATCGGATTTGCGGCGCAAACGTGTCGGAAAGCGTGCACGCGAGAAGACAACACTCGGTTGAAGAGAGGGGGGATGAGGGTCGCGATCGATACACGTGTAAATCGGGGTTACTGGACGATGCAGCAGCAGGGATTATTCGCGAGGGTCGTCGTGGTGGCGATGCTCCGCTGCCGCTGCTGCCTGTTCCGCTGCTGATGCTGCTGGCTCGTCACCCTCGCGCACCTGGGCTATTGGTTCTCCAGGGAGTAGTGGCGCGACCTCTTCCAGAAGCCCTTGAAGAAACCCTTCTTCTTGGGCGCGTCGCCGCTCTCGGCGCCTGAAACAAAAATTATTCACCCCCGGAGGGGTTCGAGGATTTACAATCGGATTTTGCTCGAGCAGGTGTTAAAATCCATCATTCACTTGTTCGTACTTTTAACCCTTCTGTAAATGCCTAGTTTCCGTCAATATAGGGAGACTCCCCGACTGTCTGTTGTTCATTGATAGAAGAGTTGAATGAGGGATTGTTTTTAGTTGTTTATTAATTTGTTTTTTATATATATTTATTTGCTTTTTTAACGGATGAAGAGCTCGTTTATTTTTGTTGACCCAACAATGGACGCACTTATTATAATATATAGAAAAAATTAAGCATTCGTTCTCCTTATAATAAACACTGGAATTTATTTGCATATTTAATATAAAAATGCAAACAATTTTAAAAATTAAGAAAGAATAAAGAAACCGCCCATGGTCGGTGTGTTAAAATTCGCTCAATTTGTTAATATGTTGAAAAAAATACAAAAATAAAAAATTCAGCTCTATCGCGGATATTTATTGGAGGAACGTGAACGAGGTAGAAATCGGAAGCAGCAGGCGAGCGGATTCCATGATTCGATGGTTCACGGATCGATCACGTTCGCGTTGCGGCGAAAAGCACGTCTACTTGAAAGTACTTTGCATCGTGGTTTCCGGTTGCCGGGACGAATACACGACGTCTTACACGATTGATGATCAATTCGCTGACGCGTCAACCATCGCGAACGAGAATCGTGTGGAGGCATCGCGTCGACCTTAGATTTCGCGGTAGTGATCAAGTATTGATTCTGCATGTTGTATTCTATCGACTATGTGTCTGCACTTTTCCTTTTCGCAACAGTAATTATTAATTTGATTAATTTTCAATAATTAATTTTATTTATTATTAAACGTGTTACTATTAATATAATTGAGCACGATAGCAGTGTATAGATATACAAGAAAGAAGCAAGGTGAAACGATGAAACAATCAACCATGGCGCTGCTTTTAAGCCTAGTAAACTGTTTTAATTTAATTATGGCAATATGTAGGGTGATCAAAAATTTGAAATGAGAAAAAACAATATATAGAGAAAAATAGCTAATTTGAAGGAAAGGAAACCTAGTAGAGTACGAGGCAACAAATTATTAGCTGCGATATATAGGAAAAAATTTATCTTTGAAATGTCGCAAAACTATACTTATTGATATTTGTTGCGAGTCATTTTCCATTAATACAAAATTAATCTGCGACAAAGCTCATTTGATCGACATTCCTCGACATCCTTTTCCCTTGAATCACTGAAGCTTTGCTCATTAACAGGGAGACAAAGGACCCAACAGAAAGGGTGAGGGATCCATTTCCGATTCTACCGAACATCAAAGATCTTGATAATGTGACGCGCGAATGAAAATCGATCCATGCTTCCTCTCTCGGTCGTGAAAAGGCAAATGTATACAGAGTTTGCCTCTTCGAAGCTCATCTAATATCCAATATACTTAACTGTATATTGCAACGGACGAATCTCTTCCTCGTGAGTTGCTACTCAGATATTCATTTTGTGACTTAATACTCAGATATTCATACATTGACGGAAAGGTGAAAAATTATTCATTGACAGAAGAGTTGAATTAGTCGCTCTCGTCTCCGTAAAGAGGGACGAACAAAAATCGCAAGTCGATGTGTATTCTTACAATTAGCTTTTACCGATTTCAAGTCACTCAAGAGACGTCGTCCTCCTTAAAACGTGACAAAAAAAAAGATTCTCATCCTCGAGCTGAGAAACAACATCGAGATAAATCGATGCCGTCACGTACGCATCGTGAGATATTCCGTTGTCGGATAGAGAATTTCTTAGGGGGATCTGGCTATAAGAAAACACTTATTGCAATGCATACCTAGTGCAGCGAAGAATATGATGGTAGCGATGGATTTATATTGTAGGTACAACTGATTTTTTTTACGATTATTTCGAAGATTTTGAACAGCACCAGGAGGGAAAGAAAAACAATAGAGGTACTTTGTTTTATTCTCCATTGAAGCGAGGACCCCCTCGAGGTCTACTTTTATTGTTCAGTGTAACAGTAACGTCATACTTTGTGGTTTCTTTAGTGTTTGAAAATGAGTGCTTCATTGTTTCTGAAAGAGATGCGTTTTGTTATTCGATGTTTGTATTTAGAAGGAATAAAAATGCTAATATTGTAGAATTGCTCAAGTCGCATCCGCGTGACGATGTTTAAAAAGATCGATGTCAATATTGAAATAGTTGAAAAAAATTAGATTAAACAAAAAAGTAAAATTAAAATATGATTGAACAAAAATAAAGAAAGTCATTGATTTAATTAAAAATTCAATATTTTTTCAATGTCGCGTTTAAATATTTATATATATCTCTCTCTTCTTTCTTCATAAAATTTATGTCTTAATTGTAGCAAAATAATATTGTTTCACATGCGAACAAAATTTTGTTAATAAAAAAGCACTCTTTGATTCAAGTGAAAGTAATTCTCTGTGCACAAAAATTCATATTAACAACATCAATTGCTCGTTGAATTCCGATTAACAAAATGTAAAAAAAAAAGAAAAATCCTAAATAGAGGCCAAGGTGCAATCATGCGCGTCCTCCTCGCGCAATTGCGGTCGTGATTCGCGGTTGCAGTCCGATTGCAGTTGTCGTGTGCATCGCAAAAGGCGCCACGTAGTAACCCGATATCGCACGCGGGACACGCGTGTTCTCACGTATTTCAACCGCGAACCCCGTATGTTAAACAGCCGAGGAGATCCTAAGTAAGACGGATCCTCTCGCCGATCGCGTAACAATGACTCTAGCGATGACGAACCGTCGGATTAAGAGAACCTACATCTATCGAGCTGCTGGAGTCTTCTCTTCTCCGTGGAATTTTACCTACGAGACTCTCGAGAGAAACGTATATATGAATATTAAAGGGTTTCTCAGTTACAGCTTCCTCTCTCTTCGGTATCTTTGCTGGATTCCTACCTAGTTCATCAAAGAAGAAATACGCTCGTCGAGCTTCAATGCAATCACTCGAAACATCGTGTGCCGATTACAGTTATGTACGCACACATACACGTTTCTCGTAGTGATAGATAGACATTGAAATTGTGTACGTAACTCGTTCGGCCTCTATGGAGAACACGCACGACGAACATACCTTCGATTGGCCGTGACTTTGAGCGGCGCGATAGCGTGTCAAGGTAACGTCCGTGCATAGACCTAGACGTGCCGGCTGCTTGATCCGCGGATGTTAATTGCGCGGATTCGGCCGACGTAGAGATCCGTTCGCTAATAAGATACCTAGACCCCGTATTCTTTCCAGACGGTTCAAAATATCTCGACGTGAAAGAATATGATCGGATGAAGAGAGTGACACAGTTTAGCGATGACGATCTATTTTGTTTTTCGGAGTAATTGATTTAACAATAGGTCTGTTCTTTTGGCTGATTCAGAGTTTATCTCTTTCCTTCCAATGGAGGAAAAAAAATAAACTCTGAACAAGTGCAGCCAGTTCGGCCAAAAAGAACAGACCTACCAATTTCCATCCGAAAAGAATTTGTTGTATCCGTTTGATAGACAATTGTATTTGCCTTGTTTGGCATTTTGCTTTTTTATATATTGGGATTGGAGAAAAAAATGAGGTATATTGGTTTTACTGGGTATAGAAACCCAATTGAGGTATTTTTAACAGCTGTCCGCTCTCACTTCGGGACAATCCGGGAATCAATACGCAATTGCGGCAGCGAATTAAACAAACATCATTATGGTGACGGTGTTATGGGGATCGCTTTCTACATACGTGCACTCACGTGCGCGCTTCATATCGAAAGCCAATTGGCATAATTGACGAGAAACCCAATGATTGGCGATTCTTCATTGCGTTCGCGCGATTGATTTCGCAAATGCGACAGTCCTCACAATGTTTGCTTTTGCTAACGCGTCTTTGCTCCAAGCTTAGCGTCCAAATCCGAGGCACTAAGAGATTTCCTTGGCCTGTCTTACGTAAGGATCGCGTTATACAAGGTTATCTCGGGCTGAAAATCAGATGATCACGGTTTGACACGGAAATTTCCTCAAGTGCGCGATTCGCCATCCGAATAATCCGGAACCTGAGACAGTGATTGACCCGCGATCGAGGTCATGAAGGGTCATGTTGAAACAGAGAGAGAGAGGAATATATGCGTATCTATGTGTGTGTGTGTGTGTTTGTACGTGTTAGCGCGGGCCAATGAACGGCCGAGGGATGGAAGGAAGGAAGGAAGATGGCCCTGCCGTGGAGGAGAGCCGGTGCGTGCGATCAATACCGATAGTATACCTATAGGACGCAGAGACGCAGACTCTCTTGGGTGTGTCCGATCTCCCGCGCGCAGTATCCCGCTGTTGTATATACGTTTTCTCTCTTTCTCTTTCCCTTCACCATCCTCCTTCCTGTTTCACTCTTTCTATTCTGCACCTGTCTCACCGATCGCTCGCTTTTCCATGCTCGATTCCTTCCCGAAGGGACATCGAACCTCGGGGTTCATTAAACAACCCTCGATGGGTGGAAGTCTCGTGCTTCACCCACTCGTGAAGTGACTTCACTCTCGCGTGGTCGTCAGCTGATGGAGCAGCGGGAAGATTCTCGGAATTCCGATTTCAGAAAATTAGGAGACTTCGATATTATATATATAGGGTTGGAAACGGGGTATAGAATCGATACCCCATTTCGATTTAGTCGAAAAGAATGGTGTTAGTTCTAGATCTTGGACTGCATGCATAAATTGTAACCCTATCTTTTTTTTTCCTCTCTGTCATCTCGGCAAATGTATAAAAAGTGTGTTGTAGAGGACAACCTTATCGATTCTCCTTGCTCGGAATATAATATGAAGCGAATTGATTATTGCTGTAATGTTGACTTCTTTTTTTTTATATTTTCTCGTTGACGATTTAGAGTTATATAAACATGGAATAAATTAATTAGATCCAGCTTATAATATACATTCGGATAGAGATATTATATATTTCAAAAACTTTATAATTTTTAATTTTTAGTTTCTTAATTTTTCTGAATATTTTAGAGGTAACTACTTGCTTTTTATTTTTTGATATTTGAAAATATCTTCGCGTAATTTAGCGAATTTTATCTAAAATTATTTTCACGACAATAATCGTGTCTAGTCCTTGCTATCTAGTTGCACAGTTAGATATATGCAGGATGACTTTGCTATTATTGGACACGATCCAAGCCGGTCAAGCTATTAATATTACCTTACTTGAAAATCCTAGCGTTCATGCACCGTTCGAGCGTAACGGAATTATCAAAAAAATTAAAAAAAAATAAAATAAAATAAAACATTTCAAAATTCTTAAAAAGTATATTTATCAAATTTAAGTAAACTTGAAAATTCACATTAAACGGTTTGTAATTCATGCGCGTATAAATATACCGTAAATTTAGTCGTCGTGGTCAAGTTATCGTGGCTTATCGATGATAAGATACGTCAAGCCGCAGGAAATACATCAACTCTCTTTATCGACGCTCAACTGAGAAGTATATAAAGAGTTGAGAGACACGCTATTTTTTTTTTTTTTTTTATGAAAGATACAAAAAATGTAATCAGCTTAACTCGTTCGCGATCGATCGCGCGCTCTCAAAATGTCTCTCTCGCAGGATACACGGACATATGTATATACACTCTGTGCGCGCATTAAAAAGCAGGCCTTCCTGTTCGGTGTGAGCAACCCGTTTCCGAAAATAACAGACGAATATTAATAGATTCACTCGACGGAGGAGACGGAGAGACGAGAGGACCGCGATATTTTGGAACCCGTGATATCCTATATAGTCGTTCCGTGCCACGATGCGCACTAAATTCGGTTACGAACGGAATATAAGAAAGTATACGATTATGTCGACCGATACGGTGAGAGAAAAAGAGAGAGAAGAAGAGAGGGAGATCTTCATGTTCCATATTAATACCTATATTAAGATTTGATATTAAGATTATAATGTATTAAAATTGGATACAATTGCGAAACATGTCTGTAAATGAGCTATTTAACTTTCCGAATAATTAGAATTATATTAAAATATATTATATACTTACATTAAATGAAGAGAAGTTAGAAGTGTTCATTTTTTAAATTTTTATATGATGTTATTACGTTTAAATGCGATAATTATTAATTATTTCGCGAAACTCTCTTTTTAAATTCAAGAAAAAGACCTATTCGCGTTCTCCATCATTTTTTTAAATATAATTCTAAATTTTGAAATGCTCTATTGCAACTTCAATAATTATAATTTAAGATTAGAATGATAAAAAAGCTATTTCGGTTTATTTCCATTCAGAAGTATGCAACTGTTAGAACTTTTAAGCTAACAAAAAAATCAGTTTATTAAATGTTATTTAAGCTTATTTTTTAAGATTTTTTTTCAATTCGCTGATGTCAAAATTTATTCAAATCGGCGAAATCAATATATAGCAACTGACAAACTTAAAAAATTAGATTTTTATCAATATAATACCGTGAAATTTTTCAGATTATCGAACGTGAATTTGATGTCAAAATTGACAAATACGATTTAGTGAATCCAATATATAACAGTCATAGCTATATTGATCACAACCTTCTTGCATCAACGTTCGATCACTGTTACCTTTTATAACAAATTTTCGCAAAATATTGTGATCATTTTTTAAATCGTATCAGGTGTATAAAGTAATAAAATTTTATATTATATCGTACTATAAAAATCGAGATAATTCTTTTTTCGTATATTTTTTTGTTAAACTGTTCTACATATGGTATCTTTTTCTTTCTTTTTCATGATATGAAAAATATTATTCCTCACTATGTGGAACGATACTACACGGAGAAAATTTTCTCTTAGAATTTATCCTAAAAATCATGGTAATCCTGAGACGATATGATATTGGAATTTTATAAGAATTTCTCCGATTAATATTTACTACAATAAAAAATATTAATATGTACATAATAAATTTTATTATATACATATTAAAATCAAAATTAATCGAACATATGTATATCTTATTGTAGATATTAATACTTTTTGTTGCGATAAATATTAATCGCAGAGAAACTCTTATAAAATTCTTTCAATGTCATAATCGGTAAATTTGAAGAGAAAATTCTCTTTGTGTACAGTTAACTCGTGCAACGATGCTGTTAATAGCACTGTCAATCCTCTCTCTTGACATATAACGTCGTGATCGGGGGACGATCGTCCACGAGACGAGTTCATTAGAATGATCGCGGTTGTCAAGTTCGCGAGTCGACCACATTATTGTTTCTATACGAGCGACGGCCGTGGGATTTCATTTCCAGAGGGCTGACACACACGCTCCCGGTTATTTTCGAATCAGGCTCCACCGTCGAAGGAAGATAGAGAGAGAAAGGAAGCCGACCGAGTAAGAACCAACCGAAATATTGCCCACACGAGGATCCGCGACCGAAATAAAACGGAGTGAGAATTTATTTTCTCGCGCGTGTGCGACGTCTCACTGTTATTCTTTGACTTCTTAACAAATATCTAGTAAACCGACTTGTTTCGAAGAGAGAAGAAAAAGAACCTAAAATCTTGATTTCTTTCAAGAAATCACCCAGAATACTATTAACCCTAGCATTAACCCTTTTGTCAATGAATGAGTATCTCAAAAATGTGTCGGATCTTTTCTCCGCCTTAAACAAAATATAAAAGACCTATGTATTCGGAAACTTAAATATGACAAAAAAAAGATTCGATGCTATCAGCAGCTGCTATACAAAAATTGTCGCAGTGCAATGTGTCAAAAATATCTACATATTGATGAGAAGATAAAAAATCATGCATTGACAGAAGGGTTAATGCCAACACAGGTTTCACATCTAGAGATTTGTGTCGAAAAATGACACTTTAGATCAGGATTATAAATCTTTTTGACAGAAAAAAATATAGCTATGAAAAAAATTCTAAAATTCCTTATACCTAAATTAAACGCGAAAAAATTGCCCAACTTACCGGCATAAGGACCTGAGGGTGAGTTATCCTTGTTGCCCTTCCCGTCTTTGCTGCCACTTCCTGAAACAATAAAGGATAATTCGAAATTACAAGTGGGGTAAATGTAAAATATCAATGTAATAAAAGAGAGAATATATATAAGAAAGATTATTTCTATCTTAAAGATGCACGAATTCGTTCACCAAACATAGCTACAGGTTATTATTAAAAGTGGAGTTTTACCAAATTCCCTTTTTATCTATAAATATCTGTAAATATTATAATAAGAGAGAGAGAGAGAGTCAACTGATAATGAGATAAATATACGATCCAATGCATAGAAAAAAAACATGTTTAAAATGCATGAAAACTCGACAATCGAGCAGATTGAAGAGAATTGTGCGGCATGCAAAGTGAAGGGTACGTTCAATGATGAAAAACGCAGTAATCGAAGAGGTAAGAGCGTAAATGCGTAATAGCGCATTGAAATGTATGCGTTCCCCAACGAGCTCATATCATCTCGACGGGTCGGTCAGATGACTCGGTCAGAGAAGATAAGGAGCAATAATGCATTAGGCCAATTATTCGGAATGGAACGGTTGCTTTATTCGCAGCAAGCGGTATCCCCATGCCGGCCTTCATCACAGCAGATTCCAGAACGTAATGAATAATAATGCACGAAAAAATAGAGGAAAAACAGCTCTGCACATGTATGTATAAAAATATAAATTATAACATTTGATTTTATATAGAAAATATATTTCGCATATGTATTTTTTATTTAAATATATTTAAGTATTATATAAAATATAATACTTTAATATAGAATTATATACATTATAGACATTAAATTAACTTGTTTTTATAAAGTACGAGAATTTAACTATATATTATTTTTTTGCCATATTATAAGCGAGGAACATATATCGAATTTTTTGTTGCCATCTGACATTTAAGTATGTCCATCTCGTCGAACGAAAAGGAATTCTTCTCGCATTCTTCGTCTTAAATGCTTATAGCAGACAGACATTGATAGAACGTCATATGAGGTGATATGAAAAAGATGGATTATTAAGAGAGCGAAAAGTACGACGCGCGATTGATCGATAGGTATACGATCGTTTTCCGCCGCAGTTGATGAATCGCGAAGGGATCCGTCGTGTAAACTCGGTCAATCGGAAATGAAATCCACCAAGGCGAGAAAGAAGTTCCGTGTCATTCGTCTTAGCTCGTTCGGCGATCGATGCCGATGTTCTAACGATCTTTCGAGAATAAGCCTAATTCCGTAAAGTTTTAAATTTATGAATATTTCTTTTCAATCTAATAGTTATACGAAAAACGAATTAATTATTTTTCTACAATTATTTAGAATTTGCGATCGGCAAATCTGTAATTAAACATTGTAAAGAGATCTTAATGTTCACGCTTTCTTTCACTGATTCTCTCCTACTTGCTTTTTAACAACTACGCTTTCTTGTTCCATTGTCTTTTACGTATATTAGTAATTAGCATTTATTTGCTTGAAAATACTTCAATTCGGAGGGAGAGGTAACGGAATATATTTTGTGGGTGCAAGTAGGACACGTGTTTTCTTTGTGCAAGTTTTTTGGCTCGCAGGTGAAAGACCGAGAAGACACAATCTATAGAATAGAAATAAAATATGTAAGAATGACGAAAGAGCGACGATGACATCACGATGACAGGAGGGAGAAGACGTTGGAAAAAGAGGGACATTCCATACCTGGAGAATAGAAACATGACTAGTAAACTGGTCGTGGAACGCGATTGCCATTCGGAGTTAACCAGTTGAAAAACTGTATACATCCTTAAAGAGTCCTAAACCTACACGAAAGCTTGTGACCTTTTCAGTCCCTACCGATCTGCTCCGACATTTCTCGTAACGTTGCTGACGAATGCACCGAGTTCATTGACCTGATATTTCTTGGTAATAATGCTTTATTCGCGTGTATTTGATTTATCCGTCATTTTGAGTCGAGTAATCAAATTCCTGAAAATCATGATAATCATGGGACAATATGGTAGAATTTTATAAGAGTTTTTCTGATTAAAATATTTATCACAATGAAAAATGTTAATATGTACATTGCAAAATTAATCGAACATATTTTACATCTTATTGTGGCAGATATTAATATTTTTTATTCTGGTAAATATTTAATCAGAGAAACTTGAAATTCTTCCATATTGCTCTACGATTATCATGATTTTTCGGCTAAATTCGAAGAGAAAAGTCTCTCTGTTTATGAAAAACAAAATCAGACGATGTCGAAAGATATTTTTTATATCTCAAATAAAAATATCAAAGAGTAGCACAAAATATATAATATTTCACATATTATGCGTCTAAATATTGATATAATATATTTAAGAAAAAAGATGATTGTTTTTTCAAAAAACATTTGTAATTAGCACATTTCTTTGGCAAAAGACCCGTGTTTTCAGAAAAAATCGCGCGTGTTCGAATTTTTTTATGATTTCAACGAAACGTCACTCACTTTGTATACAAGTCAAATGGTTAATTTACGTGAAGTGTTCCAAGAGAGATTAGACTTGCCAAAATGTAATTTCTCGCCATATTTAGGATACGGACCGATCGGAGTGTCGAGATTTCTTCGCACCAAGTGTTCGCCAAGAAGAGAGATTAGAAATGCGAGACGCGTGTAGATCCATCAAGGTCGCGGTGAAGGTCGAGATACACAATTGTCTTTGTGATGCTACGCGAAAGATAAGATCCCGATTAGCTCAAATTCAATTATCACGAACTCTGCGAAAACCTTTTTTAGGATGCGCAATTTTTTCCCTCTCCTCTCCCCCGCCCAATCTATTAATTACCCATATATACGAGAGATACAATTTAAAGCTGTACAAGTTTTTAAAATAAATAAATTCATTTGTATTACACGTGCAGGCAAAGTGGCACTTTGTGTGCGTGTTTTCTGTGCGGAAAGCAGCCGATTTCCCACGCCGCTATCTAGCGGCGACGCGGTGAGTGAATAAGCCGCGTTCAAAGTCATTGCCCACGGCTTCAGTCGTGGACAATGACTTTGAACACGGCTATTCCCGCACCGTGCCGCCGCAAAATGGCGGCGTGCGATCGGCCACCTCGCACACAGAAAACGCGCACAAAGCCACTTTGCCTGCACTTGTAATACAAAATAGTATGTGTATCACGTGCGGATTGACAATTGTCAACTTTCCGCACTTGATACACAATATACTATTTTTAATTAAATATAAAAGAATTGAAAAACAAATGCCTGGCTCTATTAGTCTACTTTTTTACCTGAATTTGTATTTCAGAGGCTTTTCGTTCTTTGGTATTATTTTTTCGTATTACTAATTTCCATTACATAATATTCGATACTCTCATTTTCCTTGTTCCTTGCAAATTTGCCAGCTCGCGAGTTTTCGGGCCGACAGACTGTTTTCTTTTTCTGCATAATGCAACGCTACCGGACATGTGATTGGCCAGACGTGACGGGATAGTTCGCCGACAACTTGTTGGAGGTACGGCATCAGCTGCAATTTCGCAAGGCTGCCTCGTCGGGGGTTGGAGATAGTGAGAGTGGTCGAGGACAATGACGCGCGTGCTCCCCAACGTTGCTTGTTCTGCTGGAGGGGGAGGAGAGGAAGGAGGGGATGTAATGGTGGCGGTGATGGTGGTTGTGTTCACCCTCTGAATAAATCAATAAGTCCCCGGCTCTCAGCCCTCATGCACGCTCTTCAACAAAGCGCAATCATCGGAATATTAGCAATTGTTCTTCAAAAATTATGCTACATTTGTTTCTTTTTAATTGACATAATGTGTACAAATGCCAATAATGAAACAGGATCGCGAAATAAAAAAGCACACAAATTGTTATTTTTATAATAATTCTATATATAAAATAATGTTATATCTTTTGTATTATCTTTCTGATTTATATTTTACTGAAACGTAATTTTATTATTACTTGTTTTATACGTACTAAAGGGTTTCCTACTCGTTAAATAAATAAATAAATAATTATGTCAAAATTTAACTTTAATCTCGGGATTCACGTCACGCAATCCTTTAGGGAGGAGGAAGAGGAATTTGAGGAAGGTAAAGCTGTCAAAGGAGCTCCCCCACTTTCCGAAAGTTTCGCCGAGGGATATCGAAGGATTAAGGTCTTCGAGGACAAGCGAGGGTCCGTTTCCGCAACATGTTGGGCCCAGCTGACGTTCGGAGAATTCCAGTGACTTACTCTCCTCTTTCTCTCCCTCTCCGTCCGGACATAGAATTTAATACACGACGATAATGATCAAATAAGGTCCGCATATGCGGGACTGCCGTGTCAAACGATGCATTTGACGTAACCTTTTCAAGTGCATATACGTACATGCAGCGGTGCATATCGATTCCGTCGTGTGCGCCTTAGAGGAGTACGTTCTTATGAATAAAACAGCACCGCAAAGTCGTAATTTCCGGGAACTTGCGGAGGAAAACGCGCGCGCGGACCTTACATTTCGGGCCTGCTGATAAAGATTGCAGGAAAGACGTGACGTTTACGGCGGCGAGGAGACTCCGGGACAAAGTTGAGCCTTCCCGCGTAATCGTTCTTGATTAAATCTCCGGGAGCTCGCGAAGAAATTTATTATCGCCGAACAAAATTAATCTTCGCGAAATGTAAGAGGTAGACATCCACGGACGTCCGCAGGAAACATTTGTCCCCCCTTGGAATCAGTAAAAAAATTATTTGCATATTTAATATAAAAAATTAAATTGAGAAAATTAAGAAATAAATGTATAATTGTTAATATTTTTTTTTAGAGCTATTTGGATAAATTACAGCTGCTTTTGCAAACGAAAAATCGGAGCTTCAGCGAATTTAAAAATTCTGGATAACAGCAGAGAGTATTTGTCCCCCTTGGAATCAGTAAAAAATTATTTGCATATTTAATATAAAAAATTAAATTTAAATAATTAAGAAATAAATATATAATTATTAATATTTTTTATAACTATATTTGGATAAATTACTTTTGCAACAGGCGAAAAATCGGAGCGAATCCAAAAATTCTGGATAACTCCGGAGCGA